ACGTCAATCACCGTGCCATGTGTCTTCCTGTAAGTCGCTCGGGTGGGGGGGTCATAAAATGCGAAGGCTCCTCCGACACCAAGAGCGTGCCTGCTTCTCGTCCTGATGCACTTGCATGTCATCAAAGGGATGGAATTACACTGATATTTTTCAGTTTCTCATATGGGTTGAACACTTATCATTTGCTGTATGCGTAAAACACGAGGGTGGCCGTCTCACCATAGTAAAGGGCTCGAAAAAAAACAATGGAACTTTTTAATTTTATTATCCTGGAAGCAGAAATCTATGGATATATTTTTCATCACTTTAAAAAATTTCTATACCACCTAAAATGCTTTATAGCCTTTATTTGCATTGTATGTGTATCAAATAGTTCGTTTACTTGGAAACTTATGTCTTGTTTGCCTGCAGTTTGGCAGAGAAATTAATACTTTAGTCATAAAATCTTACATGTAGAAATATGTAATTTAAATAATTTAATCAGTGATAATGACACGAGTCAGAAAACCGATAAAACAAACCACAAGGAAAAAAGAGCAAGACATTTAATCGTTTTACTGATGTCCTACGGTAAGTGTTATAGACGCTTGCATCTGTGGCTAAATTATTCACATAGAATAAGAATATAAACATCTACACGTGCCCTCCTGGTCATTCAGCATCTAATCAATGAAAAAGTCAGCACTGAAGACATTAGCAAAAAGAAAGAAGGAAACATGCCCTTACTTCCTTGCCATGAAAGTTACCCTCTGGAACTCGGGTTCGAGTCTCAGCCCCCTTTCTCCTTATATGCGGTTTGCATGTCCGCCCCATGTCATCGCGGAGTTGCCTCTAGGCTCTGTTCTTTCCCCGCCACAGTATCCGGTATCACCCCCGGGCCCCCAGCTACCCTGCATAGGACAAGTGGGATCGATGGATGGATAAAGTAAGTACTGTGTTTGATTATGAGGGCTGTGGTTTGTATGTAGATTTATAAGCAGCTTAAGATTTTACAAAAGATTATATGTTCAACTAATAATTTTCAAAAACCTTCATGTGTTATAACTTAAAAATAATAATTTCATATCGAGGGAGCGCCACCTGGTGGCACAAAACAAAGGTGTCCACGTCAGTATGTGGCACGGAGAGATATGATTCAACTGCATGAAAACAGGTAGTTAAAACTGTGAAAATATCATTAAGATCCTGTTAGGAGTGGTCGTGTTTTTAATTGTGTCCTTATATAGTGTGTCAACAATTTTTTCCCTGCCAGCTATTTTTTATATATATTTTTTTATTTTCCCTTTTTGTCATTTTGGAGTAAAAACTTCCGAAGTATTTTCCTAGAATAGTAAATCCAGCAGTCAAACTTGCAATTAAGAGTATCCATTTAGAATACTGTATTTGCATTCTTTTGCACTTTTATATTAAATATGAGTCATTTGACTCGAAATAAGCTTAGACAAGTGCAGAATAAAATGTAATTACAGAAATTAAAATCAAGCAAGCAAAACTGATGAGAAAAATCTTTTACAGTGGATTTAGTCATTTTTTTATTGAGACAGTTTGTATGAATGCAGCCGGGACTCACACAGCAGATGTTAAGTCAGAAAGGCAAATGGCAGCCTTAAGGCAGACCATTTTTAGCAGCTGAAACAAGGTTATATTTTATCAACTTGTATGTGCAGATTATGAAAATAAAATAGCATGTGGAATTATACAGCTTATTGGATTTTGCTGAAATGACTGTCAGAAATGACCAGCTCTGGAGACAGTTGAGTTTGATAGTGTAGTACATTTAAAATGTAGTAGATAAAACAATAGAAATGTGAAACAAAAGGAAATTAAAAGATGAGAGAGCTCACTTGGATCTGTGAAAAGTGTGCAAGTCCGTTTCAGTGTTTCAACCCGTCTGAGGCCCTCCATAAAGATGTTCTTAGCTTCTACAGCCAAGAACACATTTTAGTGTTTTTCCAGACAACTTTGTCTTGTTTTAACCTAGATGGGGCCATATGAATAACAACCAGTCAGTCCATGTGGAAGGTCACAGCTCACAAGGTGTGTAGAACACAGAATGCAAGTAAGGGAGCAAGACGGTGCAAAACATGTAAAAGTAGTATGACAACATATTGGTAACAATATATATCCATCCATCCATCCATTTTCTGTAACCACTTCTTCAGTGCAGGGTAACAGGGGACTGGATCCCCAACACTATGGGCACAAGGTAGGGAATTACCCAAGATGGGGCATCAACCCATTACAGTGGTAGTAATATTTTATTAAAAATTCATGACTCACCACAATCCTTCCTTTAATCATCATTAATCAAAACATTGTATGATCAATAAGGCAAACAATCCATCTAAGCATTTTACAACAAACATCTGTGTGCTTATTTCAGATATTTTCAGATATTTTCTGCAAGTTTAACACATCAGACCCCATGCCAAACTTGGAAATATAATAAGATTAGATAATGTGTCCTCTGGTGACACCTGACAGACAGTACAGTATATATTGCCAGCACTCATCAGAGGGATTCTTCCTGGGAAACATTATTGCCACAGAAGGAAGCAGATCTCATAGTTAGTGAAATTAGAGAGAGAATTGAGACCTCTAAGATTGGAACATCCTTGCAGGAGCTAATTTACCCCCAGATTGCCAGACGGATGACTGCACAGGTTTGTTAATGTCAGACTGGAGACGATGTTTCCAGTCCTCACCGGACTATGGAGAAAGGGCCGAATCCACAGGCAATCTCTGGAACCTCTTGGTCTTGGCGTGAGCCAAAGCCTGACCCATCTTCATACTTTTCCACTTGAAGAAAACAATTTTGTCAGAAAAAAAACACAAACAGAAACGCTTGACGTTAGCAATGCCCCGTATTGTTTATAAAGTTCAAGAGGAGCGTAGGAGAGCAGGGCAGAGAGTGAGCCATGAATTTAGGTTCATTCCGGTTACGGCATTAGCTAATCTGCTTGTTTTTACTCTCTGGATGCCGTTCCCTAAATTCAATTCAGGACAGGCAATTAAATTTGCAAACCTTGTTGTGGTGATCTATGTTGGCCACTTATTGAAATCATTTTCTGGCTTTGAAGGGTCTCTTTGAGGGGTGTGGATTGCTGAGCGTGATCTTGAGCAAAGGGCCGGGTGTAGTAATCAGATAAACTGCAAATGGTTTGACCCAGACCTCTCTGTCCTCCTGTTCACAGTTTGCGTCAGTGACTGTTGGGAAACCCGGACAGTATCACAGCAAACATTCAGGTATTTTGATAACAAGACAGAATGAACGCTACAGCAAACAGCGACTGTAGCCTGTAGAGTTCTGCTAAATGAGCACAACAATAATGTCAGGCCTGTCTTGACCTATATTGTGTAGATAGGCCGAATCCTTCATGCAACAAATAAGTCTAAACAAATTAAAGCACAGGAAGTGAGTAGAAACACAATTTTCATCACAGTGTTCATACTTGTTGTCTTAGAACATTATTTAAAAAAATGCTTCAAAAATGCACTATTTAATATTCTGTAAAAACAAAGGCTCCCCAAACCATCTGAAAGTCTGGTGTCTCACAGGTTGCTATAATCTGTGACTGATGTTTTGAGTCATTAATCCACCTTGTTCCATACTTGCAATTTAGTGTCACAGATGCTTTATGAAGGACACAGTGAAATAAAAGTAATGGTCATGCTCTGAAAACTGTCAACCAAAATGATACAGGCAAAAAAAATGAGGACATTGTGTGAGAGGGGTGATAAAGGGCAGCTATGAGCCCCATCTAATAATGAGTTTATTCGGAGGGCTGGATACTCGTGAAATGTGGCTCGAAGGAGTCATGTGCATTTTGCAGCATCCCGACACAGGTGGCTGGCTTGCTGGGAACGTGTAGCGCTTAGGCCAGGGCCTCATCTACCCGGGCAGATGGCCTGAGCGTAGGCCAGGGCCTCAGCTACCCCGGCAGATGACCTGAGCGTAGGCCAGGGCATGAGCTACCCTGGCAGATGGCCTGAGCGTAGGCCAGGGACTGAGCTACCCTGGCAGATGGCCTGAGCGTAGGCCAGGGACTGAGCTACCCTGGCAGATTGCCTTCACATAGGCCAGGGCCTGAGCTATCCTAGCAGATAGCCTGAGGTATCTTGGCAGAAGGCCTGAGCTACATTGGTAGATGGCCTGAGCTATTCTGGCAGATGGCTTGAGCTACCCTGGCAGATGGCCTGAGCGTTGGCCAGGTCCTGAGCTATCATAGCAGATAGCCTGAGCGTAGGCCAGGGCCTCAGCTCCCCCGGCAGATGACCTGAGCGTAGGCCAGGGCCTGAGCTACTTGTTGGAGTGGGCACCCTGATTCCAGTTTGTGAGCTAGGCAGGCTACGAGATGGGGAGGGGCGCAGGCCTCAGGTCACCCCACTGGAAGCCTGAGTAGGGGGATTGGTGGAATCTATCCATTAGTAGACCTCTGACTTTGAACTAATGCAAAATCAGCAGCATTACAGAATGCTACCATAATTAAGTCATAAAACTGTGAACATATAGCTTCACAGATATATTGTTACATTTTTTTTCCTGGTTTGTGTGAAATCGTTAAGGATAATATAAAGTCAGTTTGCACAGCGCTATGGAGAACATTGGTTTAGGCTAGTTGACAGTGTTAGACGATGTATTGAGGCTCAAGTGCCAAATGAACACAAATGGATAAGAAAAGGTCTGAGCCATCAGATACTTAGTTTAGAAAAAACAGAAGAAAACACGCTATTTGTTGGGGGAGGGTCGCCCAGGGTGACATAGAAGCTAGAAATACCACTGGTGGCTGGAACAAAATGCTATTAAAGTAAATAAGTAAATATTTTGTAACAAATACATTACTGTTGGTAACATAAATAACATTTATATGTACTATTAAATGTAGATATATATACATACTGTACAGTATGTACAAATTTTATATCAAACACATATACACTGTATATAAACATTTTAAAGTATGTATTCAATCATTAATATATACAGATTGCAGTGAGACTTGTTTCCGCACTGAAACTATTCCAACAATAAATAGTCACATTAATATTTGCATGTAATTAATTTCCTTAAAATATTAACATTTCACATTCAAACTCTACATACAAACACAGTTAAAATTTGTATTCCAAATGAAACTTTAAAATAACACAACAGGAACAGTAAAGCATTAACAGGACAATACGTTGACTCTGCAGGAAAATTGCTATTTGGAGACAGAAACACTGCAAATATCATCCTTAAACTGATTTTTAAAACCTTATTTCATTACAGTGCTGCAGAGGAACATTACAGAATAATGTATAGCACTAATATTTCAAGAATGCTACAAATCATTATATACGATCACACATAGCTAAAAAATGTGAAAAGATTATCAATTAAACTATAGATATTCACAAATCCTCAAAAGAATATAAATGTTATATTAAAAGCCACCTCAGACACTATTTTGTTTAATTGTATGCCTGCATATTTTGGAATGACAATACCATAAACTCTCACAAATGTTGAAATGAGCATAAGCAAAATACACTGTTTATTTAACAAAAGCACAATATAAATAAACTGAATTAACACACTCACACAAAATACTTTTTTTGTGTGGTATTGAACAATATTTACATTACATGACTAACAGCTATTTTAAATTGTGTGACTTCAGGTATGATAGCAGACGTTGAGTTTACCCAGCCCTTTCTGGATTTTGGTCGCTTACATGGCGTATATTTGGATTTCACTGTTCATTAATTGTGTTAACTCTTGGATGTTGCATTATGTGACCACACACATTCTGTCATGCGTCAACCTTAGTCTGTACTATAAGATTTAGTAATAATCCCAGCCCCACAGTCTGCCATAGCTTCTTTGCATTTTCTCCAGCGACTGACATGTTCTATCATGGTGGAAGAAGCGTTGGTGTGGATTCCAATGCCCCAGTGCTGCCCCTGTGCTGTAAACATGGTGCCGTCCTTCAGATTAAACGCAAAACTGAGGTCCCTAAGGTCATAAAAGATCCCTGGGCATCTTTCGAAAGAGGAGGAGTGGTAACCCGATGCACTGGCTAATATTTCCCACTGTGGCCCTTTCAAATTTGGCCTCCTAATCACCCCCTGTATCTAACTGGTGAATTCTCTCCTGCCCCTTCACCACTATAACCATTGTGTGGTTAGTGTACTGTACCAGGATGGCTGCCATTGCATCATCCAGGTGGGGGCTACACAGTGGTGGTGGTCAAAGTGGATCCCTTTTGGTTTGGTAAAAGCACTTTGGGTGTCTTGAAAAGCACAATATAAATGTAATAATCAATCAATCATTAAATCTATCAATCAGTCAATCTTTCAGTCATACACATGTTTAAAGAGACATCACTAGTGCCTTAGACACAGGTTTTACACTGATGTCTGTAAATTCAAGAAACCTTAATATCGCCTGATTTTATCGGCTAACTGATGTATCGTTCAAGGCCTAGTTTACATTGCATTGCGGCAAAGATATTCTACTGGCTTGAATATATTTAGTGGTGGAGGTGAAATTAGCAGTCAGGGAAGCCTTGTCCTTCACCCCACGCTTCAGGGCTTGCTTGACCATTAGTCTGACCCGCTTCCTGAAATGACTTCCCACAATGACGTACAGAAAGGGATTCAGCGAACTGTTGCTGAAAGCCATGTAGGTGGCTATCTGGGAGCTGATGTCCAAACCGTGCCACCAGGGACAGCCGGTGATTACTTCGTAATAATCTAGAGTGTCAAGGAAGGTCACTATCTGGTGTGGGAGCAAGCAGAAGACATTGGTCAAGAAAACGATGGCTTTCCTTTCAGTCCTTTCCCTGGGGAAACCCCTTGGATGGTTCTCCCTGAATACAGCTACGATGCGGTAGCCGCAGAACGACAGCACTGGCATGGGCACCAGGAAGCCCACGATATTGGTCGTCACGTTCCACTGGACCCTCCAGCCCTGATGGGGGTAGACCAGCTGGCATGCGTTCACCCCAAGGGCAGGAACCTCCTTCACCGAGCGGAACAGCAGAACCGGAAGGCTGAGGAGAAAGCCCACCACCCAAATGCCCAGGCAGATCCTTCTGGCCAAAGCAGTATCTCTCTTTCTGCCGAATGACAATGGCTTCACTAGCGCCAGGTAGCGGTCTATGCTAACCACGGCCAGGAAGAGGACGCTGCAGAAATAGTTCATGGCGATGAACATGTTGACCAGCTTGCAAAGCGGCTCACCAAACAGCCATTCGAACTCCTGGGCTACGGTCACGGCCCAGAAGGGCAGGCACGCCGCCAGCACCAGATCCGCCGCCGCCAAGTTGCTGAGGTAGACGTCAGCCACAGTGTTGTGCTTGTTCCGCAGACAGAAGACGCACAGCACAAAGGAGTTTCCCAGAAGACCCAGGATGCAGATCACTGTCATATAAGAGGGCTGGATCATGATTAACCAGTCCCAGGATGCCGTCAGGTTGCACTCGTCAAAGTCTGTCACGTTGCTGGTAGGAGCCCAGAGTGGGCTGGTGTGGCTGGAGTTCTTTAAATCCATTGGGAGCTGTGGGAGGAAATGATGAGCATGTTATGACCTATTGGAAAATGACGTCTGTATTAGAATCATTGGATGACGGAATAAACATGCATGGAAACTAAACCCGATCCATGATTCTTCAAAAAGAACAATACGGAACCAATTAGCCATTACTCCAGTGCTGGTATAAAAACAAGGTTTCATAAACACAGGAGTCTGAGTCCTCCTTTGGTATAGATCTACACTACGGACATGAGTGCTATATGAGAAGGAGGATAATTTATAAATAAGAATATTGTCACTTTAAACAAGGATAGCATGTAGCCTGATTATGACCCTGAGGTTGGGTTGTAATTCGATGTCTTCAAGGCGATTAGATTAGATTATGATTACTGAGGGAATGATTCGATGCATCGAGAATCTTGAATTCTGTCACGATTTGTTTCGCTTAGACGGTTCTTCAATCATTTTGATAACCTAAATTGAAATCTTTCCATGGGAATTTAATTTCAAGCTATTAATGGAATACAAAGGAAGTAGCATCTCAGAAAATTAATTCAATGGGCCAACTATGGAACTGGAGAGAAAAAACATCAAATACATTGTAGGAAGTGCTAACTCGGGGGCCGCTGGAAGAATGACGTTATGCCATTTTTTCTTCTGTGAAAAACAAAAGATTGATCTTACAAATATGCGGTATGCTGTTACTTTGAGACCTCTTAAAAGTGGTGAATGAGTTGACGAAAACCATCATCATCAACCTCCACTACGGAAAATAGCTGATCATCCAGTGCAATCTTCCACAAAATTTTAACAAGTATCATGCATCTCTAAGGCTAATATTACTTTTTACTTAGCTACTGTAGCTATCTACATTCCTCAGGGTCTTGACAGTTGCTAGTGTGTTTTGCAAAATAAATAAATAAATATTACCGCTACAAAACAGAGGCACGTTTCTAAAAGTCATCATTGCGCAAAGAGAATCTTAACCATTAGGGAGAGCATTCTGGGGTTTCCCAAAACGGTTTTCGCAAATATCATCAGGTACGATCTTCTTTATAAATATTAATGAACTTTCCCCTGCAATTTTGGAAATTCATGTGCAGACGCTGCTACTTGCGAAACCTGGAATTCGGAGCATCTTTATTTTACCCCCCTAAAATTGATTCTGACATTACAGGTCGATGCATTGAATCATAACCTTAATAACTGATTCATCACGATGCATTGATACATCTTTACACCCCTAACTGGTGGAGTTTAACAGCGTTTGTGATTCAACACCTTCAGAAATGTTCAACACTGCACAGGAGTCATGGAGTAAACGTACATTCATCAGGTAGAACTCCAGCCCTGTCATTGATTAAGCACCTTACTACACATCCTACTGCTGCCCAGCATGGAAGCCATTTCCATTGCTCATGTTTGCATTCTCGATGAATGCGCTCCCCCTCCTGGATTACTTCTGAGTCTAGGTCTACACTCACTGAAATAATATCCTCAGATGATTAAGGCAGTTTCCACTAGTGACTCACAAGGGAACAACCACACTCTTACTATCTCAGTTTTATGCAATTTGTGAAAGGCACCCCTTAGAACATACTAGGAACATACTAATACTAATACCACATGCAGCTATCTTGCGGACCATGTCACCTCTTTTCTGGAATGTAAAGGACCTTGTGACAAGTAACCCGGTGTTTACTTGTGTCAGAATTCTCTGCTTTCGTAACTGTTTGGCTAAATAAGTCAAAAACATTATCTTCTGACCTGTTAATTGGTAGTAGTTGATCAGAAATAAAAAGAACGCAATACTTTACAGTACTTGTGGTTTGCCGTATTGTTACACAAAAATTCTATAGACAATTCTGACCGTGGTAATTTAAAAGAGGCATAATTATTTCATAAAATTTACATTTAAAATAAAAGGAAAATTTAAAGTTCAATTTCCAATCCTTGCTTTTTAAAAATCCATAATTTTTAACAGCTGAAGAATACAGCTATATACACAAGCTATGCGAAATTGTAGACAAAAACAGTTTATTTTCAGTTCGTATTCTGATTTGTCTGACGGCTACATCCTTTTTATAGTTAAATGGTGTCTATTCATTCTATTCATTATTATCAACATGTAATAATTTATTGTATATACACTTCTATATACAAACCAATAACTAAATAATACATAACAAAACTTAAATTGAACTTTGTTTCATTTGCTATCTGTACAATGATGAGAAAGGTGACTATCAACACCATAACTACATGTATATTGAAAACGAGAAAATTAAGATTTAAAAATTAAGTGAAAATTAAGTTAGCTCTGTGCTCCTTAAGGCAACTAGCTATTCATAAATGCATAAAGTCAAGAATTCTTACCCAGACTCGTTCCACACGTTCCACAAGTTCTTAATCCAGATGTGCCGTTTGCACAGCCTCAGACGTGAAACGCTGACCAGCTGTTGTCCACTGAGGCTTGTGTCGGGTAGGAGGACTGAGTTTAAGTGGAGGAGGAGCAGGAGATGCTGAAATGATGTCATTCATATCACAAAGATAATCTCTCTCTCTCTCCTTCTCTGTTGTGCCTCCACATTCTTGCAGAATTGGACTTGTGTTAGTTGTGTTAGTTGCAAATGCATTTTTCATATGACGTCTATGCAAGTCTGTCATTCTCACAGGGTTTCAAAGACTTTTGTACTGCGGTCTGCTGGCCCCCCTCTTCCATTTGCTGACCCTCCAGTTGAACTGAAGACATTTGTCTGATGTGATTTCACATCTTATCTGCTTTCTTTTTTTTAACGTTGCTATAAAGAGAAAACTGGAGTATGATCAATGAAACCCATCAACATTGTTTTGCTTCTCACATTTAGCCGGTTTCAGCTATCGGCTTCTTCATTTTGTCCCACACATATTCTTCATCAATCAACAATTGCTGAATTTCCCTTAGAACCTAAAGTTAGGGAGTTTGGTGTCTGACCACAACTCCACGGTTGAACAAAATACACCCTGACTGCTGAAAGATTGTCATATTGCTCTCTGACATCAGGTTCTAAGAAACTTCAGTTCAATCAAGCAAAGTAAGCTACTTCTCTTCATGTGATAATCCCCAACATACACACATTCATGCCCAGCCAACCACCGCAAAAGGAAATTTCCCCCTGGGAAGTGCATCTTAATCTCAATCAGACTGGGCTATTGCTCTAAGATACGATTAACCAGGAAGCAGAAAGCGGCCTGTAATGCGAGCGGCTCCAGTTGTCTGTTACATCTGCTCACTCTCTTTAACATGAGAGAGAAAAATATCACAAGGCACACATTCGCCATTTGGCAGGAGAGATTCACAAATAAGAGATCATTTCTGTCTCTAAGGCAAAATATAATGTAGATTTTAGACTTTATACTATCATGCAGTGCATAATGGAGACACAAAATATGTTTATTTTATGAAGGAGAGAAAACAAACACAAATTCATTTGTCCTAAAGCATTTTGATAGCCATGATTAGGAATAAACTCCCATTTTCCAGAGAAACTTGGGATTTTCATCTGATTCATGGACCACAGACTTGTGGGGGGGTGACCTGGGCCCATGCCTGGGTGACTTTTAATGCATCATTGTTAATGAGAGCCTGAATTACATGTGGTTTTTCTGTACTCACTTGTCCTATGCTGGGTGGTGAGGGGTCCGGAGCCTATGCCAGGGACAAGGCAGGGAACAACTCAGGATGGGGTGCCAACCCATCACAGGGCACACGCCCCTACCATTCACTCATATGGACACACCTACAGGCAATTTGGTATCTCCAATTAACCTCAGCATGTTTTTGGACTGTGGGAGGGAAACTGGAGTACCCAGAGGAAACACCACAACGACACGGGGAGAACATGCAAACTCTACACATACAGAGCCATGGCAGAGACTCGAACCCTGGTTCCAGAGGTGTGAGGTAACAGAGATACCCACTACACCAGTGTCACTTTAAACAAAAAGTTAAATCTTTTTTCAAAAGCAAACAGACGACCTGACTGCATGCCCACCCCCACCGCAAAAGGGCCTTGCTTTCAGATGCGTTCCACCATCCATGGTCTGATTGATGTCTACAAAAGGATATCCCGTCTCATTTCCCAGCACGGACTTTGCAAGGATGAGGAAAGTGACCGCATTCATGGTTGGTGTGCCCAGCCCACGGGAGAAGGACACAAACACATCCGCTGCCCGTCACTCTGTAATTCAGCAGAGGGCTTTTGGGGTGATGCTGAGAGAGGCGCGATCGTGGCAGGCGAGCAGCAGCTGGTGAGCGGCGATGAGCCACCCTCAGTCCAGGTCATGGGGTGGCCCAGACCAGGACAGCACAGACAAATGACTTCATTAGGGCTTGTCAGTGCAGTGCACTTAAGCGAGGTGCCAACGTTGGGGAGGGCACCATGCCAGCTGTCTCTGTCTGGGACCTTTTATTACATTTGGAACTCTTATCCAAAAGATCCAAAGTTTTAATGAATTACGCTGATCTTTAAAATGTTTTATTGACTCTATGGGGTACTTAATAGGGTGTGGAATAAGCTCTGCATATTTCCTGAACCAAGCCTGTTGTGTATATCATACTGAACACATTACTGTATACATTGACCTACATATGTCAGGACTGTTGTGACAGACAATAATGGAGTAAAAAATATCTATCGGCGTTTGGCACCCAGGATGCAGAAGCCGTGGAGACTCTTATCAGGATAGTTGCATAAACGGCAGCTTGGGATCAGTAGGGATCGTCAGTTGCTCATTAGATCATTAGATTGGTGGTGTATTTGCAGCTCTGCATCCACTAGATCACGGAGTTCAGGAGATTATCACAGCAGGGCTACGCTGCACCCTGAGTATGATGTGTCATTAGGCAGCAGGAACTCTCAATAAATTCTCTCTATTTATAAAACTCAAATTGATTTAATTAATTTTCTTCATAAACTTTGAAATGGCTTGAAAGAACATTTTTCACATAAATATTAATGAGCAATAATTCGCATGATTTTAAATTAATTTAATCTAAATCCTGCGATATTATTAATTAGTTTAATTAAGATTACATAAGAATCATTGCATTTATCTCTCTCTTTGAAACCTTCAGAGACATTTAAGGGTGACAGTTAAATATTTTACACAATAAAAATAAGACCATGGGTTCCATAAATAGGGAATTTATATTGCCTGAGACCTCAGCAAAAGTCACAAAGAATTTATTTATTTTTTTTAACAGGACATTGTGTCGCAACTGTTGACACAATTGAACCCAAGGGGAATAGACACCATCTGGCTTAAGCCCCGAGTCTGAGTCACCAGTGTTGGATCTAAAATTGGTATCATGTCTCTCAAAGTCTTCCAGGTGGTTTGGTTGGACAGTTGCAGTTGCAATCCCCGCAGTGCAAATATTTATTCATTAGTTTCATCAAACACACAAACACATTAATGGATCAAAATCTGTTTGTTGTTTATGGTTTTAGTTACTTTATTTATGATTTTAATCACATAGTCTTTGACATACACTACACAATTTGCATCAATAGAAAGAGAACAGCTTTATTAAGCCTCATCCAGGTTGTTAATTTCTATTATGTTAAACTTAAACAGAAGGTGCTAGATTTTTTAAATATTTAAACATGTTTAGTTCACTAGAATGAAGACACTGCTATAAAAGTATACTGTTTATGCTTAATTGGGCTTTAGGAAGTTTCAGGCATGTTACAACATCACACTCTAACTGCTTGTGTAAAATGTTTCCTTGGAAACTTGGCCCATAGGATTAGCCTTTTCCACCAGGCTTTGTAACCCAAATGCATTTTGGGTAATCAAACATCAATCTTGTGTGTTGTCTAGGTTATCTGCCAAGACACAACTAAACTGCCAAATAAAGTTCCTTCCAAGTTTTTTGATGATCACATATCCAGTTAGGATCATGGGGATGTATAGTCTATTTCAGGAAGTACAGGGCATAAGGTACACCATGAACTGGATGACAGTTCTTCACTGGTGAATCACATATTATTACCCTAATAAGACACATCCACAGAGCTCAGGCCAAATTAAAATGCCCTGTAATAAACTAGAGTTGTGGAAAGAAAATTATGAAGCTATTAATTGAGGTTACTAAAGAAAGACAAACCTGGATTAAGATAAATAACAGTATTAAATAACAAAATCATAGTTACTGTGCTTACAGATCCACATTTGGGATTATAAGAACCCTTTCTGTTTTGTTACCACAGGGAGTGGAGATGTCGCCTTAGTAGGTTCATCGAGACATCAATTGGTTTTTCATGCATTCCTTCAAAGAGTGAAAGTACTCGTTTGTATAGATTATTCTCAAGTGTTTGTTCCAGGATGATGACTAGTAGGATGAAGTGCGCAGATAAAGAAAATAAATCTAAGATCATACACAACTGTGTTCTCCGCTTCATATTTATCTTCACAATGTTTCATATAATTTTCTTTAATTACAATAGAAATAAACATTTGGTGTATGTCAGTAATTCCAGTTTAAATATTATAGTTTTAATTGGGTTAGGTTCTGTTGCTCAACATCCAATTCAATATGATGCTTTGACAATTATAAAATGGTTGAACAAACAAACAAATAAAACAAATGTAAGCTATATGAGTAGCTTTTTAGAGCATCCAGATAAAATTAAATTATTAAAGACAAAAGGTGTGTGACACATAAGGGACAGGAACTAAATAAAGAAAATTTGGGTCTCACAATGCTACTGTTGTTTCTTTCCATAAATGTGTTTTTCAGAATTTCCTCTCTTATTTAAGTAATATTTTATGTGGCTCATCATCAAACAATGTTTGCACTTTAAAGCTTTGGGGGCGGCAAACTAACTTCGACTTGCATAAAAATGTGAAATCTTTGGCACAACCCTTCTAGAAGCAATTCAGTGTGACCAGCTTTGTTTATACAAGAATAATCATAAACTCACTTCAGTGTAAACTATTTGGCAAAAATATCTAATGGTGAAAAGCAACATTTATAAACTATAAAAACAACTCACAGGACCTGCAAAAATTCTTACTCAGTCACTTCCCACCAACAACTGTTAAAATTAGAAACTAAGACTTTTTCCCTTCATATGGCAACCGTAATTGCAATATTCCAAAGCTATGTACTTTGTTGGTTCTGTTTTGTAATGTTTTCCAGATAGCCTATAATAAATAAACAAACAAACAAACAAATAAATAAATAAAGAGTTACGAATTGTGATAACCCTTGGATTTTCAGATTTATTGGTATTCTCCCTTCTAAGTTTGTAGGCTTGTAATATGACCTGGAGTAGCGTAAAGTAGCTCATTCAAGTATCAGTATCAGTACAATTATTCAGTCTTGAGCATTAGTGCAAAAAGACACTGGTGAGGATAATTAACAAAACTACCGATTCAAACACTAAGGGACCCTGGGAATATAGGTAAAGAAAACATAATTAAACTAGACACAGGCAAGGTAAACAAACACAGAGA